TATTTAGATAAAAGATAATTTTGATTTTTAAAATATGTATTTCTTATTATTTTAGTTCCTTTAGTTTTAAATTTTGTCATTTTAATCATCAAAATTATCAATTTGAGCTAGGACTAAATTGACAACTTTAAAAATCAAAATGACAAAATTTAAATTTTGAAGAACGAAAATGAATAATATATATATATATATATATATATATTTTAATAACGAAATCGTTTTGAAGATATTAATAAGTGAAAAAATAAACAAGATTTATAAATAAATAAATTCAACCCCAATTTATATATGATATTAAACAAGCTCGCATCACTTTTTAATGTCATACACGAGTTTTGACAATTGGACTAATTTATGTTGTTCTTTTAAATAATTATTCTTAATACAGTAACATAATTTTCTATATTTAATTGCATCCTTAAAATTAATATATTAGTAATTGTATTAGTGATGGTAGCATAACAGAGGTGGTGGGGAGGGGGTTGTGATTAGGACTGCAAATGAACTGAGTTGTTTATGAACAAGTTCGGCTCGGCTCGGTTCGTTTAGTAAACAAGCCGAATTCGAGCTCGAATATTAAGCTCGTTTAGTAAACGAGCCGAGCTCAAGCTCGTATAAGCTCGGCTCGTTTATCTTTATTTAAATTATATAATATACAAATAATATTTTTTATTTAAATAATATAAATAATATTAAAAATAAATTTATCAAGCTGAGCCGAGCCGAGATCGAATTCTATTAATGTTAACGAGCCAAGCCGAGCTCAAGCTTAATAAATGAGCTCGACAAGTAAACGAGCCGAGCTCGAGCTCAGCAAAACTCGGCTCGGCTCGGGTCGTTTGCAGCCCTAGTTGTGATATTGTGGTGGTACATTTTAAAAATAAAAAATATTTTTTACCTAAATAAAATTACTTTTCATTAAGAGATATTTAATCTAACATCCCTCTTCAATTTTTGATAATGGAAGAGATTCACAATATTTTTTTTGTAATTTAAAGTTCCACACCCACGCCCACACCATTGTTTAGGAACTCAGACTGGACCGGCCGGTGGGATCGGTTGGACTGGGAACCAGGCCTTGTTCCGGTTCGGAAAACCTTTTAAACCTGGATTAAGGGCAAAACCGGTGTAAAATTAAAAAATCGGCAGACTAGACGGTCGAACCGGCGACCCAGACCAGGTTTTGAGGGTCAGCCCGTTTGTTTTTTTTTTTTTTTCTTTTTAATTCTATCTTTAACTTCTTCTTCTTTTTTTCTTTCTTTCTTTCTTATATATATATATATGTATTTCAAACTTTTGACTAAAAATTCTTTCTTCAAGAGTCTCCTCTTATAAAGAGGAGTCTCATTGAAAGTTTGAGGAGATTATGAAAATCTATTGCTATTATAGGAAAAGATTTTTCAAAGAGAACTTACAAATTTTATATAGGATTCAATCAAATTATTTGAATCATATTGATTGGAGGGAGAGTTGAAAATTTTATTTCCCTCCAAAATTAAATCTAGCATTCAATCAATTTGTTTGGAGAGAATGTTAAAAAAATTTAATTTTTTTAAAACAAGTGACTTTTTCTTATCAGTTATGAATTTATTTTATTAAATATTATTAATAAATATTATGCAACAATTTTTATTTTTCTTTGAGTTTTTATATATATTTTTATTTATTTATAATTTATAATTATATTTTTTTAATTATATAATATTAATTATGACATCACGGTTCAACTGCTTTAACCTGACAGTTAAACCGATGACCTATCCATCTGATCTCTTTTTCAATTCACTCATTGATTCGATTTTCAAAACATCGATTTGTTTATTTAAGGTGATCATAGAATATTCACAACAACAAAAGATCCAACAAATGCTTTAGAAACATAAAGGGACAACAGAGCAGTCTCCATGGTATTAAAAAAATCTCACAAGATCACAAATTTTTATTTTTTTATTTTTGGTATGGGATTTGTTTATTTGAGATGATCATAGAATATTCACAACAACAAAAGATCCAACAAATGCCTTAGAAACATAAAGGGACAACAGAGCAGTCTCCATGGTATTAAAAAAATCTCACAAGATCACAAATTTTTATTTTTTTATTTTTGGTATGGGATTTGTTTATTTGAGATGATCATAGAATATTCACAACAACAAAAGATCCAACAAATGCCTTAGAAACATAAAGGGACAACAGAGCAGTCTCCATGGTATTAAAAAAAATCTCACAAGGTCACAAATTTTCATTTTTTGAGTGGGCTGTGCTTTGCCCTAGTTCTCAATTAAGAGTAACGCTAGAATCAAGAATTCAGATACATCACGATATATATATATATATATACATAGTGTTTATTCTAAATTCAATTATTGTATAGGGAAATTCACACCCGAAATGAATCCATCCTTCACATTATTTTTCTTTGTATTTTTTTTTTATCTGAATTCTTAGTCTCCAACATTATTTATTTGATAATTACGAAGCACATACTCTTAGGGTAACTGCTAATGAGTCAAGTATTTCATAAAATTTGAACTCGTGATCTATAATTTTTGAAGCACATGTTAGAAGCTTCACTTGCCACTAAACCCATTTGTTGAGTAATACATATAAGATTGTAAATGAGTACTCAGTTGAATTGAATTAAGTTGAGTAGTTAGCTTAAAAACATAAATGAGATTCAAACTCAAACTTGCCTTGTTTATATTTTGAGGTGATCTAAAACTAAAATCCTATTACATCTCAAATGAGTTTCATTTAATTGAGCTCAAATAGTTTGATTTTTATTTTTTTATATTGTACATAAATTTTATAGGGCTGAATAATAAATTGTTAAAACTTTATTTAAAAACTTAATAAGTTTTAAAATTTGTTTAAACTTAACTTGTTTATATAACGATTTAATTTTGAATAAATTTTTAATGAGTCAAACACGAGTGAAACTGAAGTAAATTGAGTAATTTTGCAGCTCTAATTTCACATGATCAAAGTTTATTTAGTTATTCATCTTTGCCGCTGGGCTTATTGTTTGTCTCAAGTGCAGTTTGTAGTCGTTACATGTCAAAGAATAAAATTTACAACACATTTTTTATTTATTGATTCATTAAAACAATAATTGGAAGTGGTCTCCTTGTTAAGTTATTTTTTATTTACAATATAATTTTTCTTTAAGTGAAGCACCAATGAATTTTAAATAGTAATCTTATGAACTATTTGTTCTTTCCTTTTTTCTTATAGAACTAATGGTCACATTTTAGTATAAATTACATAAAAGGTCAAATATAAACACGCATATATTATATGTTGGGAGACAAATGTAGATTTCTCATAATATTAAAATTACTAAACATAACACTTCAAAAAAATATCTTAGTGTATTTTTCTCAAATAGAACATTCCAATGTATACTTAAAAAACGTAACACTCCTACGTAGCACGTTAAAAAAACTCCTTAATGTACTTTTCTCAAACGTAATAACGTCACGTCACATTCAAAAAAAAAAAATTCTTACTATACTTTTTTCAAACGTAACACTCCAATCAATATAACACACAAAAACTCATTAGTGTACTTTTCCTAAACGTAACACTCTAAAAACGTAGCATTCCAATTTAACACACAAAAAAATTCCTTGACCTTTCTCAAAATAATAGTGTAACATTCTAAAATAACTCTTTATTATATTTTTCTCAAATGTAACAATCCAATCAATGCAATACATAAAAAAAAAAAATTTCCCCCTAAACGTAACACTCTAATATATTACTCTAATGTAATACCAAAAAATCACACTAAGAAAAATATAGATTTTCACGCTCGACAACCAACATTTCGGCCATCAATCTCCTCAAAAGAATCTTACACACCTCATCTTTCCATTCTCATCCAAAAAATGAATCAGAAAATTAGAAAAATAAATTATAAAAGGATATTCACTCTCAAATAACACAAAATCAAATAAATACAATTTTCCAAAACAAAAATAATTAATTAGTTTATAAGAAAACTCTTAAGACTAAATGGATCAATATTCTCTCGTATGAAATTTATGGATAAAATTTTCTTTTTCTTTTTCTTTTGTATTATTATTTTTATTTATTTAGTTATTAATATATTGTTTTTTTTTTGTATTCGGAAAATGTTATCATTTCTACGCCAATTATTAAAATTGTACTTCAAATTTCAACTTTTAGGTTGAGCAGTGTTTCACGCATCATTTTGAGCATTAAAAACAAAATTTACATTCTAAATACATAAAATAAATAGAACTACATAAATAAATAGAAAATATTAAAAATGGGTGATAAATCCAATTTAAGAAGTGTATAAGTCATTAGGTTAAGTGAATATTTTTTATTGGTGAAAGGTTTATCTTTTCTAAAACAGTTTGGAGAGAAGTCCTTTTGTTATTTTTGAAGAACATTTCATTTCCAATTTTACTCCTTAATTTATCTGTTGATTTTTTTTTCTATCTGTTCAAATTTATATCTATATGTTCAAATTTTTTGTCTATTTGTTCAAATTTTTTTTAATCTATTTTTTTCTATTTGTTCAAATTCATTCCATTTTCAAATTTTCTCTCTATCTTATTTCTCTATCCATTTCTCTTTTCTCTTTATCTGTTTCTCTCTCCACTTATAAAAAATCTAATTTCATCGAAAATCCTTTTGAAAATCTAGATTTGTCCCATGATGAATGATTGTCGATTTAGGTGATCCAAATTAAAAATTATACAACCATGATCAATGTAGAAAATAGAGAGTAAGAGAAAATCAACCCACAACATAAGATATTTTTTATGTGGAAAATCACAATTGGAATCCACCAACTTAGGATAAAAAACCACGGGCCTTCGGCCAAGCGAACAATCCACTTTGAAAGAAAATAATACAAAAGATATCTTACAAAGGCTATTCCAAGCACACGCATTTGTTCAATCTACGAGTAATACTTCTTTCTCTACTGGATCTTCTCAACGGTTGTCGAACCACCATGACATCAAATGGCTTTGGAATCCACCACAGCCTACAATCTTGGTATCAACCAAGAAGGTTTGTCAAATCACACGACGCCAATGACTCTGAAATCCACCCAAGCCTACAATCTTGCAATCCACAAAGAAGGTTCACTTTTGAAGGTGGAAAGAACTTGTTAACAAAACTTGTTGATTGGCTTTGAGGCTCTTGGATGCTAATGTATCATCAAGTAAATAAGAGTACAATCAACCCTGACTACCAGTTCACTCTCAAAGAATAAATCTCTCTTGCAAAAATGATCTCTCTCAAAATGTATTTTCTCACAAAAGAAACTCTCTGAAGGTTAGAGGAGAGATGGAGAGAATACTTAGAAAAATAAGTGTATGAGATACTCAACAAAACACCCGTGGGGCTTTAAATAGACTTGGGAAGAAGAGGAGCTGCAGAGGTTATTAAGCCTATTGACTTCATCCCCTGTAATCAGATCTGAAATTGAAGATTCTTGCTCATGGTTAGCTAACACCTCAGGTCAGTTTTCAGTAAACTCTGTGTGGCAGTGGTGGTTGGCAGCAAATGGACCTGGAGTGAATATTCCTGTAGGTTTATGGGTTAAGTCTGCTCTCCCAAAAATGCAATTTTTCTGCTGGCTGGCTTGGAGGGAGAGGGTGAAGACTTCATCTTTTCTTAAAAGGATTGGGGTGTTAGCTGCAACTGTTAGTTCCTATCGTGTTTTCAGCAATGTTGTGGAGGAAACCTTGGATCATGTGCTGCTCTTTTGTCCACTGACCTGGGAGTGCTGGTCTTTAATGGTAAGGTGGTGGGATCTGGTATGGGATATACTTGGTTCAGTCCGGGGGCTGCTTCATTGGTGGTCTGGAGGTAAGTTCAAGCCAAAGGAATCCAGAATTTGGCAGGTAATTCCTTCTGTGGTGTTCTGGTATGTGTGGAAATTAAGAAATGATTGTAAATTCAAGGGAGCTCTACCTGCTATTGAAGATTTAACTGAAAGAATTAAGTTGCATATTGCTCTGTGGGCCAAATGGCTATTGAAGGTTGATTACTCTGTTTATGATTTTGTTTCTAACCTGCACCAGGTTAGGCTATCTGTGCGAGGTGCTTGAGGTGTTATTGTGGAAGCTTTGGCTGATCTGTCTTGCCTCTATGTTTTCTGTGTTGTGTTGATTTCTGTTGTTGCTTTTGCTCTGTTGGTCTCTCACCAACTGGAGCTTGGAGCTTTGTTAGCTCCAAGCTCCTCTTTATTGATGTAATCTTCTTTTTATCAATATAGATCTCTTTTGCCGATCAAAAAAAAAAAAAAACGTAGTTGGTTGGTAGCCTCAATAGTTGAAGAAACTACAGATTACATGTAGTTGCCAAAAGTAGGTGTACAGCCGACATTGGGAAAACAATTGAAAAAGGCGCACGGGAAGTAGAGTCAATGATGATAGGAAAAGAAGGTCTAAAGCTCGGGTGTAATGATGAGTCGCTAAATGTAGGCGGGCAGCCTCACATATCAGGTTCTGTGAGAAGTGAGAGTGAGGCTTTGAGGGACAGACCAGGTATTAATTTGGAGGTCCTCCTGGGCCAAGAACAGTGCATTAACAAGACTATTGGGCCAGGTGTTATGAATCAGTTAAATTCTGGGTCTAGCCAGTCAAATGTATGGGCTCAGCATGGGCCTATTTGGATGGGTTCTAAGTCCAGTGAGTGTAATCCTGCTGGTGTATCCATATGTAAAACTGTGAATAACAAGATGAAGTCCACAAATAATAACGGGAAAAGAAAAGTGGGTGTGACAAACTCCATATCAATGGGTGGATTCTCTGGTTTTGCAAGAAGGCTAGGGCATGGAGGTGCTGGATCAAGTAAAGTTAGTCATAAAGGAGTGGTGGTTAGGGCAGCAGCTACCGCCATGCTGAAGCATGCCCCAGATAAATCGCAGCACAGTTACTCTGGAGGAAAATTACATGAAGCTCAATTAACTCTTATTTTGGGTAAAAGGTTGGGGGTTGATTGTCTGGGCCAAGATGAAGCAGTGATTCAAAAACTTGTTCAGATGGAGGAGGTGGACAAAGAAAGGATTGGTGAAGAGGTTGAAGGGGCAAATTAATGAGATCCTATCAGGTGATATAAAAGAGTACAATATGTTGTTATGAAGTGGTTAAGCTGGAATATCAGGGGGATTGGTAGGCTTGAGAAGATGAGAAAAATTAGGAGGGCCTTGGTTGATAGAAAAATAGATTTGGCATTATTTCAAGAAACAAAGAAGGCAAGTTTTTCATCAGTGGATGTTAAAAGGGTGTGGCATAGAGATAAAATGGAGTTTATGGTTGTAGATGCTGAGGGTAGGGCTGGGGGGCTGCTATGCATATGGGATCCTGAGGTGTTTCAACTATCAAATTGTTGCAGCAATAGGCAGTTCATTATGCTTGCAGGTACAGTCCTTAACTCTTTTGATTGTGTCATCATTAATGTGTACACTCCTAATGATCCTGTGTGGAGAAGTAAATTATGGGAGACTCTGGCAAGGTTGAAATTAAGTTTCACTAGACCTTGGTGCATAGGTGGAGACTTCAACGAAATCCGATCAGCGGATGAAAGAGTGGGTTGTTCAAGGAGGGAACGAGGTATGAAAGACTTCAACGATTTTATAGATAGGTGTGAGTTGACTGAGTTACAAATGCTGGGTAGGAAATATACCTGGTGTAATGCAACTGATGGTAATAAGTGGAGCAAAATTTATAGATTCCTATTAAGTCCTGAATGGATCGAAAGATTTAAGTTCAAACTGTGGGGCTTACCAAGGCACATTTCTGATCATTGCCCTATACTCTTAATGGAGGATGAAAGGGATTAGGGGCCCAAACCCTTCAAGTTTTATAATGCTTGGTTGCTGCATCCCAGCTTTGTTTCATTCTTGGAAAATGTATGGTTAGAGTGCCAGATAAATGGAAGTGCAGGTGTAATATTGCAAAGGAAATTACAAACCTTGAAGCTAGCACTAAAGAAATGGAGCAAAGAAGTGTTTGGTAATGTCACAGAGAAAATTAAAGAAGCTGAAAGTCAGCTCCACTCTTTGGATTTGTTGGCGGAAGTCAGACCTTTGGTGGAAGTAGAGCTGAGGCTTAAAAGAGAAACTAGTAGTGACCTGTGGAGACTCAGTAGAATGTTGGAATGGTCTCGGCTGCAAAAGTCAAGATTGGAATGGAACTTAAAAGGAGATAGAAATACTCGATTTTTTCACGTGATGGCTAGTAGTAGACAGAATAGGAATGCTCTGAATTCTATTCTGGTGGAGGGGGTGGTGGTTGAGGATCCACAGCAGGTGAAGGATGTGGTTTGTGCTCACTTTAACAAGCACTTTTCAGAAGCATGGAGGGTTAGACCTGGCTTATCTGGTAATTTTAAGAGCATTAGGGGTAGTGCCTGGTTTCAGCAGCTGGAAGCAGAGTTTTCGGAAGATGAGTTATGGCCTGCAGTCAAAGAGTGCAATGGGAATAAAGCACCAGGTCCCGATGGCTTTAATTTAATGTGTATACAAAAGAATTGGAAGGTGTTTAAAGTAGATGTCATGACGTTCATGAAAGAATTCCACAGTTTGGGTAAATTGGCTTTCGGTTTGAACAGTTCATTCATCACCTTAATTCCGAAAAAGGCCAAGGCAGTCAATCTTAAGGATTATAGACCGATAAGTTTGATTGGTTCGATGTACAAGATTTTGTCTAAGGTTCTGACCAGTAGACTCAAGCTAGTTATGCCAGAGGTTATAGGTGAAACGCAATCAGCTTTTTTGAGTGGAAGAAATATCTTGGACGGGGTTTTGATCGCAAATGAAATTGTGGATGGGTGGAAGAAAGCTAAGAAGAAGGGGGTGTTGCTTAAACTCGATTTTGAAAAAGCTTATGACTCCATCAACTGGGGTTATTTGCTTTCCATGCTGTCAAACTTTGGCTTTGGCTCTAAATGGAAAAATTGGATGAAGGAGTGTATTTCAACTGCTAGAATTTCTGTACTTGTGAATAGGTCACCAACCAAAGAGTTTAGCCCTCAGAAAGGACTAAGACAAGGTGATCCATTATCCCCCTTTCTGTTCAATTTGGCTGTAGAAGGGCTTAGAGTTCTACTACTCAGAGCAAGAAAATTGGGCCTGATTAAAGGGGTGCAGATTGGAGTTAATGGGGTCGTTGTTTCACACCTTCAATTTGCTAACGACTCTTTACTTTTCTGCGAAGTGGATATGGAAGAGGTGTTGAATCTTAAAAGAATTTTGAGGTGCTTTGAAATGATTTCAGGTCTTAAGATCAATTTTCATAAGAGTGTGGTTTGTGGGGTTGGAACTACAGTCAATTCTCTTAAGGATTTCGCTGTTGTGCTTAACTGTAAACAGCGGAACCTGCCACTGAAATTTCTGGGTTTACCTCTGGGTTCTTCTCCAAGTAGGAAGAAATTTTGGCAACCTGTTTTAGATAAGATAAAAGGTAGACTAGTTGGGTGGAAAAGGAGACTCTTATCATATGCTGGAAGGTTGACTCTCATTAAATCAGTTCTGTCCAATTTGCCAGTGTATTACCTCTCCCTCTTCAGGTTGCCAGAATGTGTGGCCAAGGAAATAGATAAAATTCAAACAGCCTTCTTATGGGGAGGCACAGAATTGAAAAGAAAAATTCACCTAGTGAAGTGGAAGGAGGTTACCAAGAGCATTACCCAGGGTGGGTTGGAAATTAGGAGAATTAGAGAGGTAAGTTCTTGCTTATTATTGAAGTGGTGGTGGAGATTTGCAAATGAAGATCAAGCATTATGGAAAAAGGTGATTTGTCAGAAGTATAAAATTGAAGTTGGAGCTTGGTTCCCAAATGAAATAGGTGGCAGTAGATGGTCAAAGTTATGGGGTGATATCATAGCAGTGGTAGAGCATAGTGTCCATCTATTCCAATTTTTCGGCAACAACTTCCAAATTAAAGTGGGAGATGGGAATAGAGTGAGATTTTGGCTTGATGTGTGGTGTGGTGGCTTTTGTTTTAAAGAGGTTTTCCCTAGACTGTTTTCACTCTCTACAGAGAAGAATGGTTCTTTAAAATTCTTTGTTGACAAAAAAGGTATCTTTGGGAATTGGGATCTTTGTCTAAGAAGGCCTTTGAGGCAGTGGGAGGTTGAGGAGGCATCCAGGCTCACTGTTATGTTAACAGCAGCTCCTATGTTAAGTTTGGGGGTTAAAGATAATCCAAGGTGGATGGATTGTAAACCAGGTCAATCCTTTGTTGCTTCTCTTTACAGGAATTGTGAACTGGGTTTTGGTGTAGCTGCAAGTACTTGGAGTCTGGTGTGGATTAATTATATCCCACCCAAAGTTCAATTTTTTGGTTGGCTAGCTTGGAAACATAAGATCAAAACTTCTGCTTTCCTTCAGAGGGTTGGAGTGCTGGGTGGGGAAGCCTCAACTTAGTGTATTTTCTACAAATCAGAGGTAGAATCTGTTTCACATGTCCTCATTTCATGTCCTTTAATCTGGAAGGTCTGGTCTGGTTTAGTGAAGTGGTGGGGTTTGGTTTGGGTTGTACCTGGCTCTGTTGAAGGCTTGTTGCACTGGTGGGATGGTACCTATCTCATGAAAGTTGAAATGAGAGTTTGGCTTGCTATCCCTCTGGTTGCAATGTGGTCTATATGGAAACATCAGAATGATTGCTTGTTTAATTGTGTTCAACCGGATATTGAGGAGCTTAAGGAGTCCATTATTATCAGGCTAGCTATTTGGCTGAAGGCCTTCTCTAAGGATTGGCCATTCTCCATTAATGATTTTCTTTATAATATCAGCCAGATTCGAGTTTGTTTAGGTGATCGGGGTTGAGTGTTTTGTAGTTGCAGCAGTGTTTGGCTTATATTCTACTATCTTCTGGTGTGCAGTAGCAGCATAAGTGGGTTGGGCTTTGTGTCTGTTTCAGACCTGGAGGTGTTTCAACTCTGTTTCAGATTTGTGGTCCAAGTGGTACTTGAAGGTGAAGTTCTCAGTCCATGATTTGGTGTCCAACCCCTATCAGATCAGATAGCAGGAAGGTTCGGATCAGTAAAGGTTTGTTGTTCAATATGCTGGTTGTATATTTGGCTGTAGAGGTTCAGAGCAGTA